GCAATGATTTGTTACGGCAATGGAATGTGCCGCCGCCAAATGTGACAAAACAAACACCGGCACGCCGTTCAAAACGTGTGCAAACTGTACCGTCTATCGCTCGTCCTTTAGTATCTGAACCACCGCCAAGTCGGCCAGTTTTGAGACCAGCCATGCGAGACGAACCATCCACTTCACGTGGTTTGACCTCTACGCCACGGCCGTCATCTTCACGTTTCACACAACAACCACCAGCACGCCGTTCAAATCGTATACAAACGGCACCGTCTGTCGCTCGTTCGTTAGTTCAAAGTCCGGCCATTCCATCGACATCGGCTGCACCGGCTGGAGCACCATTACAACCGCTCCGCAATGAACGAGTGTGTCGCCGCAAAGGTGAACAATCGGATCCGAACCAAGAGACATTCACCATCAAAATGTCTTTGCGGACATTTTTGAGAAACGGTCCGAATGATCCAACTCGTATTGGTGGTAAACTGACAACGCCAACAATAGAGATAGTGATATGAAACGCCGATTAATGGCAATCATTCATAATGCTGTGATTGAGATGTCCGACTTGACGCGATTATCGGCATACTATGTGCACAACGAATTGAATCGTTTGGTCGATAGCAACAACGATGCAGCAATCCGTGCAGAGTTTTTGGCGCCTTTTGATGCACACAAATATTTTTTCACCCTAAAACATTGCCAAGCTAACGTCAATTGTCCATTAAATCCAGTGTTTGCACAATATCTAAGGAATAAGAACATTCCAGTTCAGCCAGACATTCACAACTTAACTCACCCGATTAGCTTTGCTTACCAACAGTCCGCCACAAACATGTGCAATAACACAAATATGCATGGCAACGATCACATTCGCAATTATTTCAAGCGCAAAAACATTATGGAACAGGAGATTGATGTGTTGATGGACTATTTGCAATACGAAGATTCGGAAGTCGAGCTGTATGACGGCACTCGCGCGCATTTAACCGAATACTACAATGAGCTGCATCCATTGTTGCCACTCGACCGTATTGCTCTCTACGAAAATGATCCTGAAAATGTTGTGTTCCAAGACGACCATCTCATTACACGTGGCTGGTTGTGGACTACAACAGACGATACCAAGTACTATAAACACGTGCACGAGCTGATCCATTTACAGCGTTGGATTCAACAGCACAATGTGGTCAATCCAAATGAGCAGTGGCGGTCGTTTCGTGCCATTCCGCAATCGAAGAACAAACGCAAACATGTTCAATTCGATACGGAAGGTTTTATCAACATCACAAATTTATTGTATGCCCGCAGAGAAGATAAAGTAAGAAGAAATGACAAACCAAATTGGGATAACAATGATTACGATGCATTTTGGAATCGGTATGTAAATTTGCGGAAAATAAATCGTAACGGAGAAATTTTCGGCAACTATTTTACGACCGACGGTGTGACAGCATGCCTGAGAATGATTCGTCGAAACCGTGATACGAGTGCACCGACCAAAACGAGTAAAAAAAAGAATAAGAAGAAAAAGGGCAAGGAACGGTATGAGAAGAAAGAACCACCAAAATGTTAGGAAGACATTAAAGCTGCGTTTCGAGCTGGTCAAATCACAAAGATCATTGGAGATGATCCGGGCGCCAAAGTATCACGATCGACAACAAGCCGTGATCTGAAGAGTACACTCGAATGGAGCTATAAATTGACAGCGAAACAGTGGTATGCCAAATCGGGTGCACGTAATCGCAAGCACAGATTGAGACGATACACGGACGTTTTGGAAGATGAATTGCAGCAAAAGCGGAATGATTTACACGCACTTTATGGCGAACAACCATCGAGCAAAAGCGCAAATCACCAGCTATATTTGGAATACAATTTGGATTCCTTTATGGCATCACGTCAAGTGCATTACCAACGGCGTGTGGCCCGACTAGAGCTGGACAAGCATATCAGACGTCAAGTTGCCGCACATCAAGTGGCCCGTGCAAGGGGAAAACCGGTACTGAAATACTAAATATACTCAGAAGTATTGAAAAGTACCGATAAGTACCGAAACGTATCAAAACGTACCAAAACGTACCAAATAGGTATTCGTTTCAAAAAAAAGTGAATAATTTTTTCGTGTTTTCGACTGTCTTTTTGGTTTTACATGGCAAGCTTGTATGAAACTCTCGGAGACTCGGTATAATGCACAAAAAAAGTGAAAAAATGTTTTTCGATATTTTTGTGCACTATACCAAGTCTCCGAGAGTTTTATATAAGCCTGCCATGTAGTAGCAGAAAGACAGTCGAAAAGACGAATTTTTTTTTCAATATTCTCGACTGTCTTTCTGCTACTACATGGCAGGCTTATATGAAACTCTCGGAGACTTGGTATAGTGCACAAATATATCGAAAAAAAAATTCACTTTTTTTGTGCATTATACCGAGTCTCCGAGAGTTTCATACAAGCTTGCCATGTAACACCAAAAAGACAGTCGAAAACATGAAAAATTATTCACTATTTTTTTGAAACGAATACCTATTTAGTACGTTTTGGTATGTTTTGATATGTTTCGGTACTTTTTGGTACTTTTCAATACTTCTGAGTATATTTAGTATTTCAGTACCGATTTTCCCCTTGGGCCCGTGATATATGCATTGGGTGACGCAAAAATCGGTGCAAATTCGCCGATAAAGGGACAATGCAGAACACCACAGATCTTCATAACGCATACCATTGATCGATATTGTCGCATAATGGCAGTTCATGAGCCAGGAACATCGATGCTCTGTAGTCGTGATCATGATATCACAGACCAACCATTGCACCGCGAAAGACCGGAGAATATGAATCCAAAGGACCGGTAAGTTTATTGTTTTTTGTACTGCATTTTTATTTTATTCAGTAAATGTGTCGTATGAAATGAATGTTAATTTTATCGTATCGTTCAGTTTCTTAGTTTGCAACAACTGCGAACCGGCCCTTAACCATGTTCTCCCACCACCAAATGAGTGGATAGTGGATAGTGGAAATCGGAGTGCTGCCTATTTACGACAACGGGCGGCTAATGCTGCCGCTCATTAAATGAATATCCTCCTCGGCCGTCTCCCGTAGTTTACTCAGTCTACGATTAATTTACGTTGTGTCGAGAGTCAAGCGCAATAAGGGCACACTATATAAACGCCATCTATTAATAACCGACTAACTACAATGTAAATCAAACGTATCTGTTTCCCCTTTTTATTTACTCCCTTCCCCTCTCGCTATACTTTTACATTGTAGTTAGTCTGTTTTACAAAGATGTCGTTTCTGTGTAAGATGTGTGACGTCACAATGTATTTATATGGATAGCGCTCGACTCTCGCGTTGTGTGAGTAAGTGTCGTTTGGTTTCATTCATTTTAGACCAATTGATATATTAATGATGATATTTTTTTTACTTTCCATTCTTTTTTTTATTGATATAGGTAGTGGCCTTGGCACCAAGTGCTATTCTATAGTAAGCATTTTCTTTTTCTTTTTCTTCCACAACAGAACGCATTCTCAACACTACTACCAAATCTCAAATTAAAGCAATGTTGTTGCAAATGTGTGACAATGTGACAATTATCTTAAACTATACATATTTGATTTTCATCATATGTTTCCATTACTTCCATTACGTTCCATTACATATTGATTAATTTCCATTATTTCCATTCTTTTCTTTGTGATTAACCCTAGGCAAAAGTTGAATCAAAATATACTTACCACAATGCCAAATCAGTGGTATACATGTGCCATCTCTACATTGAAAGGCTGTTGATACACAGCTTTCTGTTAATAAAAACCATAAAGGATTCATGTATAATCAGTTTTTCATATAAAAATTCATTGAGAATAATAAAAATTGATTATTAATCTATACATAGTCGAAGAAAATAAAAAACAACTTTCACATGGCTTCCTGGACCACTTTATCAAATTCATACATTTAAAAAAAAGAGTAATAAGTAAGAGAACGTAACACAAAGTTCTTTTTTTTGCATTGTACAAGGTACACATCATTGAATTGAAATACAAAGGAGATAGCAAGGCTAATATCAACGTATATAAACAACTTAGTAGACATGTAATGTGTCTCTATTGTAATTGAGCAATTGGACTTTCAATTGAAATGAATTGAATTGTGGCGAAAAGATTAATACTTTTAAAACTCCCCATTTTGTGTGCATCACTTCTATACTTGAAAACATATTGTATCATTTCATTGTGGTTGTGAATACCTCAAAGAGGATTGTGTTGTGTTTTTAGTTATATACGCTTTTAGTTTTATGAAACGCTGATGAACTTGCTTTTTTTAGAATCATACATTGATCATCACAAATGATAGTGAAAAATGTTATAAATACCGTGAGAGGAGATATCATCTCAATAATGCGCACATCATGACCAAAAAAAATATACGTTTCTATTTGTTCCATTGGTTAATATCGCCGAAGTACAACTTACAAAATATGCCATCTGATCAGAACTCATCCACAAAACATATCTTGCAAGCAAACTTTTTCTAGTTTTCTAGTTTTGGTGGATGAACCCCTTGTTTCGAATTGAAAGAATTGAATCTAATACTGCTTCGCCCCTTGTTGCAAGCTAATTTAATTCACGATTTTTTTTTTAATACCAACGGGTTTTTTCAGTGTTCAAAAGTCGACTAAAAGTTGTTATTCTTAATTCAATTTAAAGTTGCTATTCTTTATGATCATATCATATAAATGATGTCGGTAATAAAATCTGTATTGTGTGATGATGATATTTTTTGGTCATTCATGTTGCTGCATATAATGTATCAAACAAATGTATTTATGAGATCTCGTAAAGATTAAATCTTTTTAAGAAATCTGTTATATTATATATTTCAATGGATGGAATATTTTCAATGAATACACTCAAATGTGATGGGGCCCACAAGCCCATTTAAATTGTTCCTTTATTGATTACTTCCGTTGTGTGTTACTACTTTAAATTCATTTTCGACTTTTCTTTTAAATTGATGTGAGTACACTTTCTTTTGGTTAAATTTCATAAATCTGAAGATTTTTTTTACGATAATAGGATAGAAAGAATCCATTGAGAAGAATTATTTTTGTATTTGAAAGATTTTCCATTTATATTTAGAAGATTAAAATAAAACACCCGGAAAAGAAAACAAAATTCATCAAGAATAATTGCTTACTCACCACTACTATTGCTGTTTTCGGTTATATCACGCAAATAGATATGTTCTATTGATCTGTTTTCGTGTGTATTGGTTGGGCCCATGAAAGGGATTGTTCTTGAATTGATCGGTGACCATGTTGATGACCACACATTATCGGCCACAACACAATTTCCAATCGTTAATAAATATTGTAATATTATGATCACAACGAACTCAAAATAATTCCATCGTCGATTTGGACGTAATGTTGTTTGTGCGAAATTAAAAAAATTGCCATTTGAAAACCATTTGTTGCCCATTATTCTTGTTTGGATGCACTTACACACTAACTTTTTTGTTTTGTTTTTGTTTTATTTAATATGAATGAATAACTTGCGTAGCTGTACGTACACTGATAACTAAAATGGCTTTTTTTTTTTTTTGGTGGATGGACTTATGTATATCAACAGCATTCATTCAAATTTAGTTCAATTATTGAAATAACAGATAGAACATTGAATTATATTCAATTCACTCAGAATGTCTTTGTTATATCGATTGGTTGATTTAAATGACTTACTATAATCATTTTTCATTACTGTTGTTTTACAGTGTTTGATCGATAAACTCGTTTTGTTTTCGTTTATCGCTTTTTCGTCATTTTTTTTTCTCGATTCGTTGTAATATTTCATTTAAAAAAATATGTATGCTGTTCATGAAATGACTGTGATTTCAAACTTTTACACATTATCCATTACAATAAATTACATTATTAACTTTTACCGAAAACATACGATTATTGGATGATTGTTGATCACACTTTTTTCGTCCTTGTTGATACTGACGTATTTTAAAACAGGACACTTTAAAAACATCGAGATTCATATCAAAAAAAAATTGTCAACACTTTAACTCAGTTTTATTGCTTTCGCTTTTCTTTGATAACTAGGGAAAATTGGTAAAATATAAAAAAAAACATATATATGAAGAATGTGACCGATTAGTTTTGCCAGAATTCGAGCTCAGTCAGCAAAATTTGCAAAGTTAGTTAATATTCTCACTGTAATTGAACAACTAAATTAAATTGTTTACATTGAATACGGCTGTTGAATTTTGGTACAATAATCGATCGAAGAAGAATGTGTTTTTAATTGAATGAAGGTTATTGACATTGACATCGCGGTAATATTGTTCGGTAATTATTTGATTATTTTGATAGCGAACTTCGTAAAGATCGTTAAAAATCAAAACGTAGAAGAAATATACAATTTAATTCTTACAAATTGTCAGACATTTAGACATTTGCGAATTTTTGGCAATACTTTTATTATCTCATTTGTTATTAGATAGATAAGAACGAAGATTCTTTTCATATAATAATAAAAAATGGATTAAAATAAAAAAACATAAAAAATATATTAGTGCGATGGTAGTTTTAAAAATGTGTTCGTATGGTTATTGCAAACCGACCGCTTAATTTTTTTTTTTAAATGAACAAGTTTGGCGCCGGTAGAGTGTTTGATGTATGAAATAAGGCTGTAAGTGTTGTATTTCTCATCAATTTTACACCATTAACTGGTTTTTTAGAATATTAATTACTTTTTAAATCACTATGTATTTAAATTTTCTTTGTGAACAAATCAACGATATATTTCGTTTTGAAAATCTCTTCAAGTTCTCATAATTTTCACATTATAATGAAAAACTTAGTATATACCACAAATAATTATTTTTTCTCGAACAAAATATTCACTGAAACAACAATTTTGTCAAAAAAAAAAAAGAGAGACGAGTTTTCATTCAGAAAGACCAGCGGAGAAGGGAAAAATAACACACAAAACACAAAACAGTAATACTTGTTTTACGTCCAGCGCTGGACGAAGACTGTATGATTGAACGGTAGCATATACTGATTTATTGCCTTTGTACAATATAATAACAAACAGTCGGTCATAGATTGGTTTGCAAATGATGAATAACAAATTAAATGAAAATCGAAGTCGAATAAATACTGATTTATTGGAATTGCTGTATATTCATTAGTATAAATCAATATGCCAAAAATATGTTATTTACTATTATTATTGTTGTTGACGATTGACTGTTGTATGTATAGGTAACAAAATGTTATGCGATACTCTCAATGTGGTTGTGCGCCATTCCGAAATTCGATGTATAAATTTTTACAATACATACACAAAGATACACAACGAAAAATCCAAATGTGCAAAATGGAGGATCACATACATTTTTCGCACACAGACATATGCAATCGCATTTCATTCAAAAAAAAAAAATAATAATAATGTCAAAACTATTCTTGACTCTCACTGAGTTCTGATGGTGTGAGATTTTGTCACATTTAACTAGGAGTGTGACATACAGCCAGCTGAATAGAGATCTGGTACCATTGAATACCATTAAAATCATAACCTTTAAATTTGTATGTAAAAATGTTTCCATTAGAAAATGACGAACAATTTTATAACATTCCATGTGAATTATATAAAATCTACAACCGTTTTTTTTTTTCATTTTAAAATCAATCGCCACATATATTCTGTCAATTACTTTTTATTATTTAAAAGTCAAAGTCGTAATCTGTCACATATACGCACACAAATACACAAAACATAACCAATACACACTTTGGTAGTGACATTTTGCCATTTACTAACAAGACAAGTTTTCATTGTGCTTTTGTGATAAATTTTTACACCATTAAAACGAAAATTTGCCCTTTTTCAATTCGGGGTGATTTTCAAAAATTATAAAAGCACACTCGGAAATTTGAGTGGATTGAATTTTTTTTTCGTAGCAGGTATTCAATTTCAATTTCAATATATTAAGATAAATCAATTGATTAAAATGGCAGAGGAAAGAACTTTCCTTACATAATCTAGTGTACAGTACATTTGACAAGATTGCACATTTTTTATTCATTCACTAATGATTTTTGATTAAAATTAAATTCGTTTCAAAAAAGTTGAAGTGAAACATCAACAATGGGTGGACACGATCACGGACACCATAATGCACCATATATAGTCCCAAAACCAGAAATCTACAACAATCAAGTAGAAAAAATATCGGAACTGAGAAACTACCAAAATGAATTGGCCAAACGAGGTCTTAAAGATCCATGGATAAGGTTTGCACAAAGAATCACAATAAATATGTGGTTTATTTCATGTGATTACTGTTTGTATTGTTTTTTTCAGAAATGAAGTATGGCGATACAACCAAAAAGTTTGGGGAAATCCGAGACTGCGGATGATCAAATTTATATTCACCGGTTTTCCCTTGGGTGCAGCCTGTGCTGCTGCCACAATTGCTTACGAAGAATATTTTGAAGTTTACAAAGATCATCGTCATGACGAACATGCTCACCATTAAACAATATTTTCCGTAATCAATTGTAGATGAAGTCAGTTAAGAAAATTTGATGAATAGATCTTTTCAAATAAATCATCAAAGTACCAAGTTAATTGAAAATATTCGTTTAATTCTATATTTCCAGTCACTGGGTGTGAATCTAAATTTTAACAATGAAAATTTAAAAACAACAGTAATTATTTTATTCAAAAGTTTATTGCATTGGCCACATCTTCTGCCTTTTTTACAGAATTCCTGTCATTGGTGTGTCATTTATTCTATCGAATTCATATTTCAAAACGTAGAATTCGTTGACATACTTTTTATATTATTTCTTCGCATAAATGTTGAGCTCCTGAACATTTCAAAGAATGTCTAAAATGTCTAAAATGATTTATTATTTACTTGTATGTGTCGCCATCTCTTTTTTGAGAAGAATCTTGGAAAAAATTTATTCTTGTTCTTTCTTTGACTTAAATCTTTTAATCTTAAACGATTTATATTTTGAAAGTTGTTTTTGTTGTTGTTGTTACGAATGATTGTTGTATTTTTTAAAGTTTGGTATTTCACGCTCGAAACCGGCCGGCATATGTGCGATTTTCCCATCTATCTTATGCGTATTTAAAATCGAATTCATTTGCAGGCGTGTGACACCGCCGTCAATTTCGCTAGGCACTACTGTACTCAAAATGCTGGCCGCTGGATTTGGAATTCGACCAAAATCCATTCGAGAGAAATCTTGATCGATTTCACTTGATAAAATTGTGCTTGCTACTGGATTTGCAAATTTTTTACCTAAACCCATTCGAGTGATTCCTTGATCAATTTCACTTGGTACAATTGTGCTTGGTGCTGGTTTTGCTGAATGTTTACTCAAATGCAATCGGGTGATACCTTGATCGATTTCACTCAGTACGATTGTGCTCGATTCGTTGTGCACAGTGATTGGTTCTGAATTCGGGTTATGATCACTGCGAACCGGCACAGTTTCAAAATGATTTTTTTTCTGTGAAGTATTTTGGCCGTTGTATAATGCACCATATTTCATTACAATTCGATCCATTTCTAAAAAAAAAATATTATAAATTCTTAGTTTTTGTTGTCGTGCACACTGCTTGTAAACGAAATTTGAATACCTTTTTCAAAATCAACGCTTATAGCTTCTGTGATAGATATCAAAGCTTCTTTGAAATCGGAATCGTACATTTCTTTCGAACCATCGTTGTCAGTCAATAAAGTCGTAACTGATAAGTTACCGAAGAAATAGTTGTCACGCTCCACTTTGATGTCGTACTTTATTTCAAAGACGTTTTTATTATTAATAATCATTTTACATTGATTGATAGCCTTCTGGGACCAATTTTGACATATTTTCAGTTCTGATACAAAGTTATCATAATTAAAAACCTAAAATCGAATCAAAATTTTTGAGAATTGTCAAACAAAAGAGATGAAATCTAACGAAATGTGATTATCTTACAAGATTTGCTGGACTCATGCCATAAATGCAACCTCGAAAAACGCCATTAACCGTTTTATCGCTAAAATTTTGCGGTAATGGAAGAATATTTTTATGTGCCGTCTCAAATATTTGACCATGATCGATTGCCCATAGTTTGCATCGTTTTAAATCTTCAAAATTCTCAAGCACTTTTGCTCGTATCCATTTCGCCCAAGAAATTTGATACGCTGCAACGGTATCACCTTCAACTGCATTAAATTGTGTCGTTTCTTTTAATTTGGTGCGTGCATAGTTGGCAATTTCATCTTCGAGATTTTGAAGCTTAGTATCATGCAAATCGTCATCAAATTTAAAATAAAAACAATGCGGATCAATAAAATCTATGATATGAATTATTCGTGACATTTTAAAATATTTTTATATGTGAATAAAATTAAACTTCAAACCAAAATATATACAACTATATGTCTTGCTTATGTTCTGTCAAAACATCACATAGTATTCTTCTTTTTTACATCGGGTAATAAGTTGTCGTAATAGATCATATTCATTCTTTCCACACATCCAATTTGTGTGACGAATATTTTTGACATTACAGATTTTTACCAATTTTCTTTGTTGTTGTCATTGTCATTTTAAATCCATTATTGAAAACCAATCTTCACTTTAGTTAGCATTAGAAAAAAATCAGCGAGTAACCGTGTAAAAATAAAATCAAAACATTTGTAAATAAATTGCAAAGTGTTAAACTGTTTAACAGGTTATCGTTCAAGTAAACTCTAATTAAAACTATTGCATTTTAATATTATAATTGGTAGGCCAAAAAAGGACAAAAATGCCACGAGGTTTGTATCAACTAACTAATCAAAAATACTGAACTACTTTACATATTTCACAGTTTTCGCTACCACATTATAGAAATTGCTGTCGTTTCATTTAAATTGACACATTTTAAGTAATATAGTAACGAACATAACCATACAGTAATGAAAAACTCTATCCAAAATAAGAATATATTATAATAATATAGAAATTTATTGATGTCATACTAGTAAGTTAATTAATAATTTGCATCAATTTTTTTTAGCTAAGTACGTAAATCACAAGGGCAGAAGCCGTCATTTTACCAGTCCAGAAGAATTAGAAGAGCAGCGCAAGAAGAAAAATGATGGGTAATCTAACAAGTCAACCACATTTTGAGCATACATTTTATTCAAGATTCTTTTGTGCAAAAAAAAATTATTTTTCCATTGTTATTTGGCTTAATTTAAATAACAGTGAATCGGAAGAAGATGAATCAGATGAGGAGGAAGATGAAGATGGTAGTGAGGAAGGTTCATCGGATAGTGATTTCGAAGACGCACATAAAAATAAGGGTGTACAGGGTCTAATTGAAATTGAAAATCCAAATCGTGCCGTGAAGAAAACCGCTGAAAAAGTATCAAAAATTGATTTAAATGCAGCGAGTTCATCAAAAGCAGAACTATCTCGACGTGAACGTGAAGAATTGGAAAAGCAACGGGCCCAAGCTCATTATCAAAAACTTCATGCTGAGGGCAAAACGGACCAAGCTCGATCTGATTTGGCTAGATTGGCCATAATTAAGCAACACCGTGCTGAGGCAGCCGCACGACGAGAAGCCGAAAAGAAAGGTAAACTGGTTATGGACTGAATATCTCTTATTTTGTGTTTATTAAAATGTATATTTTATCTTTTTTAGAAAAAGAGGATAAGAAGAAATCTGGATCGAAGTCTTAATATCGGATTTCGTTACATTGAATTAAAAAAAATTGCTGTTCAAACTCGCAGAATCCAATACAAAAAAGAATTTAAAAAAACATTTAGGCGTTTTTGTATTGCTCATTTCGTTTGAGTACATATGAAAGAAATACTTGAATTAATAAAATCAAACACATTTTTGTTATATCACAATTCATATGGACGATATCTGGTTAACCACAGATCATATGGATATCGTTTTGATGTAAAACAAATGTTAAAATAAATAAAGAGCATCTAGAAACTCGATTGACTATCAATTTAATTTTTCAATGGAATACTGCATTTATCTTCTTCCACCATTTGACATGATAAGGTTCTCATTGATTTATAGGTTTTCCATTTTGTTACCGAAATAAAATTATTTTCAAAAAATTATATTCCTATTAAAAAATTGTTTGCAAACATAAAGCAGTAAGTTTGAGAAAGCTATACTGTCAATATTCACATGTCTTCACAATCTGTTGTTTGACAGATCACATAACCTCAAACCAAAATTATATTACAACAAAACATTGATTGCGTTCGGTAAACGAAATCACTATCTAATAAACGAAAATTATTATTTCTTCGTCTTGAGACTGTGTTTACTAACTTTTACCTGTTTTGAGTTCAGGTCAACCGATTCACATCAAAATTGGAATTTAAGTTTCTTTTACCTATAGTTACTTGTAAACAAAAATCAGCTTGATCCGATCATTTTTACGATCTTGCTAGTTAGCGAGTTAAATCATTTCTATTAATTATATAAAAATCAAATTGCATATTAAAATTTGAATATTCATACGATCAACATTCAGTTCTTGCACATTTAGTTCAGCCGCTCACACACAACAGTCGCTATTTTCAAACATCATTTATGCATTATCATTATATGTTCAAATTAAAGTAATTAAGATCCATTTGTTACATCGAAGTATTTTATTTACGGAAAACTCCATATTGAATGTTCTGAACATTTTGGTGTCCAATCGATTTAATAAAACTAAAAGGTTTGTTTGTTTCTTCTAATAATTTTAATGAAGAAAATGCAAATAAATAAAAGAATAATGGCATGGTATAACATTTGAAAGCATGTCTGTTGTTTGTCCTGAAATGAATTAAAATTTGAATCAATATTGATTGTAAGTTTAAATTTGATTATAGACAAAAAAAATGCCACCTCCAAAAGCAAAATTGCACAGCTCCACCGGACGTTTGAAAAATATCACCACTTCTTCAACGAGCAATAGTAACGAAAGTCAACAAAATGTAAGCAACCGAAACATTTCAAATACACAAACCAATCGAAACAGTGTACCATCAAATGAAAGAGGAATTGAACCAAGAGATCAATTGGATCAAGCAAGAGAGCAATTGAATCAAGCAGTTGAGCAATTTGAATTGGAGCTTTATTGGTGCATACAGGTAAAATAAAATCTATTCCGTTCGTTTAGACCCCTATTATGTAGTGGTTATATTAAAAACTACAATTTGTTTGCTTGAAAATACATTTTACTGAAGTTTTAAGTTCTTCTTAATTACAGACATTGGAAAATTCATTAAGTTCAGGGAAACTAAATGCCAAACAAGGTAACCAAACTAACAGTTTGTTTTTTATTTGAAAGACTTATGGTATTATATGTAAATCTCTTCATAGCTCAAGATGCGGAAAAAACGTTAAAGTTATTAAAAGGAAACAACCAACCAATTGTAAAAAAACGGCAATTGATGTCTTGTACATTCGGCGATTATCGTAAGGAATTTGTATCAAAATAATATAAATAATATAAATAAATACGAATAAAAAATTTGTTATTAATTATTTAAATCGTGTTTCTCAATACAGGTAAGAAAATGGCTGACGAAGAAAAAAAATTGCGAGTAGGTAAGTATCAGTTTCCAAAAGGTTTGAAACAATATATTGTCTGTCATTTACACTAAAAAATATGTTTATTTAAATAGGAAATACATCTATCCAGTTCGTTGAGCCTTCGACAAAAGATCAAAGCACATCCAATAAAAGTCATTTTGTGAAAAAATCATTCGCATCAACTTTGGGTAGCGCACCGAATTTCCTGTTTAACTTTTCAGTAAACGCAATGGAAAAGCTTTCAATCGATGCACCAACGGAACAACAATGTATTTAATTTTATTGAAGTTTTTTTATTTGCAAAAAAATCAAAGAAAGCCTATCGATTTAATCCATCAATATGTTGCAGGTGACAGTATAATTGATTCAGTGAACAATACTATAAATGAGCAAGCAAAAAGTTGTACGAGAAATGAAAACGACAATCAATCTACCTCTGAAACGTCTCAAGAAATCGCGGAAAAGTCTTCAGATGTATCCATCAACAAATCAAAGTTTATTACCTCGGATAATTCATTTAAGTTCAATTTCGTAGTAGAAAATGACTAATTTTTGAAGTATTACCGATACACAAAATAAACCATTGAACTAAATGAGCAAACGAATTTTGATAGCGAATTTATTTTCATGAATCTTTTGCAGCTGTGAAATAATAGTAACTGCGTTAATAATTAAAACAAAACAGTAATTGAGAGAGTTAGTTCTTAAAGTTTTTACAACGGCATCCTTTTTTTATTTAGACGGTTTGTCAACGATTTGTTAAAATAAGTTTATTTCATAAGTAGTAGGAAAAGGCGGGTTCGTCAGCAACTCTTGCGTCAACCATGCGGCTGCCGCAAGGCTGCCACATCATCAAAAACAAATCATCTTAAGTTTGTTGTTTATTTCGAGTGTTTGTATTTTTTTTAATACTCAATTAAAACTAGTGACCAATTTTTTTTAACAAACATTTTCATATGTTTTTCTTCCAACATTTTCATTTTGCATTGTCGCCTTGATGATGGATTCGTATCGACTAACATTTTTTGTTGATTCTTTTCACATACAATACAGAGGCGGGCTTGAACAAAATTTCTGCAAAAAGCACAATCCAAACTTGATTGTTGACAAAATCACAATGTTGTTGGTAAATTTTTGTACTAGAAAACTGTTTACAGACAATTTTTTCATACTAATTTTTTATTGTTTCATACTAAGAAATCATACATGAGCCGAACACATTTAAAAACACATCGTCAAAACTACCCGTGCATTATAGATGACGTACTTGAATTTAAAATTTATAAACGTTCTACTTCATTGAATGACGAACAAACAAACGTGAAGTTGGTTGTCCGCAATGACATATATTGATTATGGCATATTATTCGAGCACTATTGTTTAATGTATTTCGTTTTTGGTTTTTACGCATTTTAGTGCTAAAATCGTCCATACATATCACTTGTGCATTTGTTTTCATTCTTTTAAAATAACGGGTCAAATATTCGAACAGACACAATGCATTTCATAAAGACAGAGATAGAAGAATCACCGGATGATAATAATATTTTTCACTTGCACGCGGTAAAAAGTGAATTGGAGTGCATACAGACCGAGTGTGAACTTAGAATGTCTCATTTGAACCTTACAATTTTATTTGATAATGCTGCCATAGATATTCAAATAACGATTTTAAGTGTAAGTTTTATGAAATAAATGTTTCAAAATATATGGTCAATGAAGTTTTATATATTTTTTTATCAAATATTCTAGCTGGCCAATTACTATGAAAAGTGTAGATTACGAAACAGAGGCTCGTTTGATATTGTTTCCATGATTAAAATGTACAATGAATTTCTGTCAGTTTCTTACGGGATATTCAACCAGTTGAACATTGCATACCACTACGTTCCAGCCAAACCATTTGTGTCATCAAATATATCCATCAGCAATATGCGGGCACAGATGAAAAGTACATCGAAATCTGTGGAACTATTTAAAGACAGCGCTGTCGCTTATGTAATTTTGTTTTTATTTCCCCCTTAACAAATTTATTCAGATAAAACGAAATCTAATGCATCTTTTTCATTTTCGCAGGTTTTTCCAGTTAATCCAACGTTTGCAACGGACATTGAAACTATATCCGTGTTAATCAAAAACATTCTTCGAAGGGCGAGCGTAAATCTCCCCCGTGTAAACAATGCTTTCCCAGATCATCCCAATCCAGAGAGACCTATGACTAAAACCGGTGCTCATTTGGAACAATGGATTGCATCGACATCCCCAACATTTTACAATCTTTTATTTCAATGAGCAAGCAAAATGCATAAATTATTGATTTTACTTATAGAAACAGCAGATGTGCTATGTTCAATAGCTTCACTGGAAGGAGAAGTTTTATTTGGCATATCTTTACGTATCTTTTGCAAATATCTAAAAAAAGTTACACAGAAAAATAAACGCATATTTGCATCAATCAATAAACTAGGATATTTTCACACATCTACTTATTTACCGTTCTTTATTATATGATCAACATTGAAATTCTCTTCTTTTAGTCCTAAAAGTCGCGATGAGTCTTTCGGTGCGAATGCAGTGTATGAAAGAATTGCATATGCTTGTATTTATGAATTTCAGTTTACCCGGTTTTTCCTTCCTTTTTATCTGTTTGGTCCCACGTATCTTGAACAGTATTCTTCAATTTTTTTCATCAAAAATGAAATGAAATGTTTTTGCCGAAAATGAAAAGACTCATAATCAGCTGGATGTTATTCTTACTCGTCTGAATTCCTGCTTTGAGTTAGGTGTAGAAAAAACTTTCATTGGAGCATAAAAACCAGTTTTCGATTACACGTTCTATATATATATATATATACCTATATATATTAGTAATTATAACGTACGGATTGTGCATTTGTTTACTATATCTATGTATGAATTGACCATAACGATTAGAACCAATCCCTTTGAATAGATTGAAAAGTTCAGTAGAATCGAAAAGAAAAAAAATGTGTGACTAAATGGAATGAATGGTTTTGCCGTGAGTGTGTTTTTTGTATCTCAGCTCAACATACTGGTTTACAAAACACATCGTATTTGCTTGATCATTCAACTTCGTGTTATAGTAAATAATAATAAATATGGGTGCTCCTTGTTACTACATCAAACAAAGACGAGTATAATGCGCACGAGTATATATATTTTCAGATGTGTGTCGAGTGTCTGAATATGTGTATGTATTGTATGTGAGACTAAAGACTGAAAGAATGAAAGAAAGAGCGAGTAAGCGACTCTGGGATTCAACCAATACGACTGTGTTCACACGCATATGAACATATATATACATTATTATATGTGAAGCGGCACGATTAGCGTTTATGTCAATGCAGGGCCTCAATATTTTTATATGAATACTTCCAATGGATTTGATTAAAAGTTGCAAATTCTTAAAATAAAAACACATTTATCATTGCAAAATAAATGGAAATGTATTAAGATTTATAATTATTTCATTTAGATTTAATTTTGTTAAGCAAAAAACAATAAATTTTTTAATCAAACATAAAAATGCTATGTTATTTCATTGAAATGTGCCCTGACACGAATTGTATGCACTCTCCATGTCTTTCATTGATCGTCGTTCAGAACAGCCAGAATCATGAATTTACTTTTATCGCGATTTAGAAGTGAGTTGAACAGCGAAGCATTTGTATCGCGCGCGTGTGTGTGTGTGCTTTTTTGATTCTGACGTTAAACAACATCACAAAGTATATATATAAATTAAACTATATATAAATAAAACTAAATATCAGACAATCGAAAATATTCGCAAATGAATAAAGCATCACATTGCAATCGAAAGCACTATCGAATTGTGTATATCGTGTATAATTTCAATCTAGAAAATAATCCAAATATTCTTCATATTTTTTTTTCAAACGAATTGAATCTTTCTATTCATATATTGTGTACAAAAGTGATATAAAAGAGAGCCTATGTGTTTGCGTTCCGTGTGTGGTTTTTCTTTCGTGTGTCGTCGTCGTTCGTCGCCACCATTGCATCTCACTTTAGTCCGCTGTGGTAATAATTTTTTCTTCGTGTGTATGCTTCTGAATCAAGAGCTTTATTCCGTGTTATTAGTGTTGGTGCATAGAAAAATAACAATAATAACAGCATTCGCGGCATCACATCAACAAAATCGCAACAACCCTTTAAATTGTGTTCATGCCTTTTACAAAGACCTCCGAATATACCATGTACTATCTCTAATATATCGATACATATATATGATGTGTTCGTTTGAATTTTAATTTTATTATATCAATCCAAACAAAATATCGCACTTGGTATTTTCATTATAGTTTGTGAATAATTTCTTAGCTAGAGACAGAGAAAAAAAAACAACAAATTATTTAACTGTAGTTGTATTTCAATATGTCTATGATTCGATGAAAATATGAATGATAAAATTGATGCCAGTCGCATAAATTTGTATCGATTTTGATATGTGAACAAAATGGCAGACACTTTACCATTAGATGGATCGAGTGCAAAAGCAAAAAACAAAGATCCAACTAATAAAATGCCTTTGTCAGCCACACATACAGGGATTTGTGTAGACTTTCAAAATGATCTTACCAAAAATAAGAAGTATCAAAGTGTTAAAAGTGAAAAATTAAATAAAGTTTCAGTGAATAAAGAGTCAGCATCGATTGGGCCCGTAACACCATCATCTGCTCAAAGGCCTGCTGCACCAACCAAAAATAGCTATCAGGTAAATAAACATTTGAGTACGACTCGGTTCGTTTGGTTAACAGTTGAGTAAATTACAAAAAAAATTAATTTAATGAGAAAATAACCATGGAAAAAAATGGAATGCATCGAAAATCAATTGATTTCTTATAACATTGTGTATATATATATGTTTTAAATCAGCAACAAAGAATGAACCAAACACAATGCCATCATCAAAATATGCAAACCACACATCAGGATCAACGCACGCTAATGGATCTACAAGAAATTGAAGACTTACGTAAAAAACGGTGCGCTGATCGATATGATTCATCTGAATCGTCTGATAGGTAATTGATTTTTCTCTTTTCCTCTTATACATTCCAAATATTGTGGGTTATTTTATGAAGTAGGGTTCAGTTGTCTGAAAAAGCTGCAGGATTTTCATGTGTTATGTGACAAATGAAATAGATGGAAACTAACATTGTGTTTATTCATCTAAATTTCATATTTCTTTTAGTTTGAACATCTATTTGAAGTTGTTTAAAGTAGCGACGTGAAAAAATAAATAGGCAGCAACGTCAATAAGTTGTTTGCGTCCATTATTCTAGCGGTGCTTTTTTTAAATAAATGATGGTAATCAGTTGAAAATCATGGAAACAATAGTATTCAAAAAGAAGTCCATGTATTTCATAAGTTTTTGGTTTGTGTTATTTTACATCAGACTTGGAGTAGGAAATGATCGAGTATACAAAAAATATATCTATTTCAAATATTGTAACAATGACAATGCAACATAAGTGCGACTTATGCGTTACTATTATTTGGGAATGATTATGTTACACTATTTATTTTGAACTTTTTTTCGCAACGAACTACAAAAAGCATTGATATGCAAACTCAGTGTATGTATCTTGAATAGATAAAATGTCACAGCATATAACTCAGCGTCACTCAATAAAACTAAAGTCAATTTTATTATTCAACATTGATGTAGAACCAACTTAAAATTTTATTTTCTGAAAAACTGTGAGTTGGTTTTGTTTTAGAAGAAACACTACAGCTTTTTTTCTTATTAAACGCACCTGTTGTTATTTATTGTATTATTGAGAAAATGACATATAATATAAGCAACTGCATCAGCTTGATATTCAATTCTTCAGTTGGTCGATCTTGAAGAACATTAATTATCACAGAAAATACATTTTGAAAATTGAGGAACAATCAACTGATATCTGTGTCAAACATCAAGGAAACGTTTCAAGCCACGTTTTTCCACCGAATGTCTCTTTTTTTTATTCATTCATTTCTTTTGTTTAAAGTAGGCATGTAGAAATCACTCCTTTAGAAAACCAAATGAAGTAAATCGATATAAAAAAAGACAAGGTGCTGCTCTCTGGTATCCTTTATATGTACAAATAAAGCGGAATCATAATGATTCAATCATTAAAACTGCTCTTGTGAAAAAAATGACGAATTTAATGGCTATAATTTTTGTGTTGAACCAAAAATTGATTGGTCGAGTTGTTGAATACAAGAATATAATATAAGCAATAACGAAGCAGGAAATATTCTAATACATTACTTAGGCCATAGAAACTAAAATCAAATTACAAATAAAAAAATATATCCAATTTCCTTCAACTGGGAGCCGACTCTGAATATAAGCAACGTTGAGTTATACACTCAATTTATGTCTATTCTCAGACATTCACAAAGAAAACACATTCTTGAGAGCCGCCTGCATTAACTGCAACAATGACGGCTATGGAGATGGTGATGATGATGATGAACAAAAAATACATACATATATACGTTTGAATTGAATATAACCAGAGTGGGAGAAATTGAAGTAAAATGTGAAACCTCTTTGGAGTCCACATTGATTTTGGAAAAATTAAAATGAAATAGTAAAAAAAGAACATGAAAATACCACATAGGAAAAAAGAAATACTAAGCCCCAAGTAAAACAGCGTATTTGTGAGTTGCATACAAACATAGTTGCCAACAACAACAACAAGAGCAACAGCAACGACAAAAGATTAGAAACGAACGAAACTGACGAAAAAAAACAATGATGATGGATTCGTAGAATTCCTAAAAATGCATCTGTAGACTGTTTATTTGTCTGATGTATATATATATGTGTGTGTGTGTGTATGTGTATTAGTTTGCATAAAGGACCATATAAATGTACATTAAGGCCGCGAGTAAGTGCGCAAAACATGAAACAGTTTGGCGCGTGTACCACTGTTTTGTATTCTAACACTATTAAACATCCAACCATGTATTGATGTTGTGCCTGTTGTGTGTTTTCCCTTTGCTTCTTGGTTCGTTAAAATAAAACTAAAATACATGGTTATGTGTAAACAACTACATAATCAGTTTTCGACCCTCGATATTGGTCTTCAGCGCTGACTTCTGCATCGACTTGATATCGATGTGTAAAGTTGTCAATTTCTGCTACACGACCAATGCTACTACAAAAATGATGATTTTCAAAAGTGAATTGATATAACCATATTGTTATATTGAGCACTGGGACAGAAGGTGAACGTCTGTATATATTCTGGCATATGGACCGCTCACGCCATGCTGACTTTACTATTACGTGTAGGTTAGATGGATGAGAATAAAGCATCGTTTGAACATAAGAGTTCAACGTACCGCTGTACGCATCCGCGTGCATACACAAATACACATATACATTCATATCAAATGTTTATTTCATACACGCATACTTATGCAATCCAAAACAACAACAACAATCACATGAGCGTGTACATGGATGTGTGTGTGTATGTTGTTTTTTTTCTCTTGATATTTTTAATGATTATAGCTCTATTGAGATTTTACTTTTTCCGCGTTCAAAGTGTACATGTAATGTTGTCGCTCCCTTTTCGTCACTGCATTCACTCTAGTTGTGTTGTATATTCGAAATAACAATGAGACACCAATACGTTTGCATCGTCAATTCACTCACATGTGTGTGTATGTGTGTGTCTATTGAAACATACACTGTTGTAGTTTTGTTAGTAGTATTGATAAAGATCAAACAATAAATTGAATAGCAGCAGCAAAAAATCAAAACACCACATATACATACATGGATATTAATGTCTGAGACAGTCCAGTTTTAAGTACTATTTTCAATTTAAACAAAAAAAACCTTCAATATCCCCACAGAAATGCGCCAAATGACTATTTCTAAATGCACATTTTTAAACCCCACTGACCATATTTCGTACTAGATATTTATTTTAATCCAAAGAAAAAAAAACATATTAATAGATAAAACGTATGATTTATCTGCGTGAATGATTTTGATGATCTTATAATGCATAGAAAATAACAAGAATCTTTGTCATTTATTCAGCTCTTCGAATTTTCTCTCTGTATAGTTAATTCTTTAATTTTATAATTTACACGTGATGGTAAAAAAAATAAAAAATATTGTGCGTCGCGCAGCTTTTGGAATGATGATGGGCCACCGATTTCTTTTAATGGTATTTTTTCTCCGTTTCTTCACATCATCTTTATTTAATTTCTTTCTTTCATAAGCGCTCACAGATACACGGCTCGCATGAACTAACAACGATATCCATCACGAACTTAATACGAGACTCAGCAACAATTTTACTTTTCAATTGTTCTTACCACAGTTTGACTGTTTTTAAATAATAGTTACATACATTCTTCAGTGGAAAAAAATGCATTAAACGGAAGCGCGCAATACGCGCATATGTATCAAAATGTTGACTTTCAAACTCGATGGTTTTTTAAAAGCGAATGCTATGTGCGCTTGAGTACTGACAAAACGTGCGCATGATATATACCTTCTAATGAATTTGTAGTTGTATATGTAAATTGCAGTGAAATAAATATATTCATCCCATTTCTGTCAAAAATAAATCTATTCGATAAATATTTTATGGCATATTCATTCCTTTGAGCTTTTTGGTATTCACTTCCTATATATGTTGTTATATTTATTCTTGTATATTTTTCTTCTTTTCATTATTGATATGAGCTGAAGAATAAAACCAAAAGAACTGAGGAAAAGAATTACGAAATACGCACAGCGCGCAATACAGCATGTCACACATTTATGTTTCTTATGTCGATTCAAAGAAAATGTTCTCTTTATCTTACCAAAAAAAATGAATGAAGAATATTCATTAGTTCTTGATTTTCAAGTGTTGGTTGTTTTTCATGTTTTTAGCTCACGTACAGTGCGTTTCGTAAGCAAATTTCTTTTAAGTGACATTTGTTGTATCCATCTATTTCATTTCACACACAAATCGTTATGTGATATAATTTTATATAGTGAAATATTTTCATTTGTTTGTGTTTTTTGTTTTGTCAACAGTGGCGTAGCAACATTGAGTATAACCGATTCGAGTGCAACATCGATTAGTGAAGATGCATCAAATCCTGAGTTACCCGATAATCCAACAATAAACAATGATTTGTCACACCATTTAAAGAAAAACTGTTCCAAGCAGAATCAGCAGGCTCCCAACAATAACAATAACAGCAATCACAATAAAAATAGACAAGTACTGGATCTTAAGGGTAAGTAAGTTTCTGTATGACAACAATTGATGTATATATTTTTTACAGGAAACGGTATCAAATGCGCCACCATTAGCATGGCCATGGAATGTCAATTCACAAATCGCATCGTTAGTAACATCAACAACAACCGCGACAACAACTACTTCAGAATCAACAAATGCTTCAACACTGACACTATCGAAGTCATGTATTCTAAGCGAAAATAAGGCAAATAATAGTATAAGTAATAACTCGAGAAATAAACGCAACCATACATCTGATTCAGTTGACACAACATTGAATAAGCGAAATCGTTCAAACAATAGTAGTGGTAAGAAATGGTCTTCTAACCGTTTAATAAACGTTTATTGGTCATATTTTATTTTCATTTTTTAAATTTTACTTGCAGTAAATTTGATAGCGAATGATCACACATCCGAAAGCGAAACCGATTTACTAAACAATCGGAATAACGAGTCGAAACGTAAAAATAGTAGTACTACCATAACTTCAGGGATAAATGTAAGCAATGGTAATGTACCGAACATTCGATCACAAACCAAAATTACGGGATTTTTTAAGACTCAAATGAAAGCACTGCCCAGTCTTCGAAAAGACTTAACAAACATGGTTGTCCGACCGACTGGAATTTCTCACATAATTCAACCGAAGGAAGATGCAACAAGATTATTGAGTGAAGAATCTATACCAAGCAATGTCACTGCCACCACAAAATTGGACACGTTACCAGCATCATTATTGAATCTACCCATATTGGGAAAAAAGGTTGAACGAAAAACGGCCAAAGTTTCACCAATTTCACGTAAATCCAATGCCATGAAAAAATCATATGCAAACGTACTGCCAAAGAAACATGTTAACATTGCACCCAGAACAAATATCACATCGATAACAGTACCGTCAATTGGGCTACCATCAATGGCCGACACAATGAAATCACAACGAACAAAATTTATGCAAAGTGTGACACAACAACGTCTTCATGTGAAACTTCTTAAACGTCAAATGGAATTTAATGCACAAAATGATTATGGTGTTGTTCCATTGTTGACAACCATTCATTTGTCTGGTACAGGTGCGACACAAACACAGACACAACAACAGCAACAAACATCGATAAATACCGTTCAGCCAAATCAATCGCTTCAGGCACAAAAAAATTTGCCACAAACACAAAAACCAAATGGTGCCATTTACCAATTGCATCCCACATCTGTAATTCAAATTCCAGTTGCTACAAAGGAAACCAACACACAAACCACAAATAACATTGTTGTTAACAATGGATACTTTATCAATGGTGCTTTTATAAAATTGCAACAGATGCTTGCACCAGCCACAACAGGTGTCGATCAGCAATTTCGTCAGATCAAGGACAACCAACCGCAATCCAATGTAAGATTCATATATTATTTTCTAAATTGCAATCGAAATTCGATCGAAACTAATCAAATTAATAATTTGCTAATTTTTGCAGGCAATTTCAAGTCTTTCAGATTCACAGTTGACGATTGCCCAAAAGTCACAAACATTTCAACAACAATCAAATACAAAAATTGGACCCACATCAACACTTGTCCAAGATACAACACAACCAATAACAAATCACAATGATCTCACGCAGCATTATGTTGCGAATGGGCCGCCAAATGCCCAATTCGCTCAACCCGTTTTCATACCAACCTCATCTGGTCTATTATTAACGGCTGCTTTGCCTACTATGCTCACATCGCAAATATCTAATTTACAACCATTATCGCAACCACCAACAATGAATGCTTTGCATCCAGTGAGTGAAAAGCCTTCATTGGCCGTTTCAATTGAGAAGCGGTCATGCATTAATATGCAAATTCCGCAACCAACATTGGCTGTTACTTTACCCCCCGACAATAATAATATGCAAACGAGTTTTCTGTCAAATAATTTTACATTCGGTATGAATTCAGCGCCAATGAATCAACCAATTAGTATGAATGACAAAGGTACGACCGGTTTCAATCGATCCAATTTGTTGTCTTCGATGACATTATCACAGCCATTTACTTCGCAAAAGATTGCTTCCACAACGACGAATACATATTCACTGCCTGTAACATTTTCATTATCATCGCCACCGCCGTTATGTGTTCAATCAAAAGAAATTACCATGACCAACTCAAATTCAATGGCTCCGCAACTGTCTAGTAATTTCAATAATGTTAAAACCATGGTAAGACTTTGGATTATTTATTTATTTTTTTCTTCCCAACTTTAGTTTGAGTTTCAGTTTGTTAACAACAAAAAAAAAATGGGTTTCATTCCAGGTTCATAACGGAAATGACTTAATTCAGTCGGAAACTGTGAAAAATATTCAAAACCATGACAGCAAAGTAAATTCTAAGACAATCGAAAGAACTTCTTTGGATACTTCAAATTTGACTGATAGTATAAGTAAAAACATATCAACGAAACAGATCTCTTCTGTACGAGACATTAGAGATTCACAACAAAATGATCTCAAATTGATACCAACATTAATAGAAAATATCCAGGCGGATAAAGTAACCGATAAATCGACGACAAAAGGAAATGCAGAAACAACGGAAAAACAGGCCACATCCAAAACAGCAATTGTTGAATGTATGCAACGCACAACCGAACTAGACACCAGTACAATAAATAATGCTTCGTTACCTGAAAGCTCCAAAAGTCCAATTTTATCACAACCAAAAACAATACGATTCCCAGCAAATAAATCACGTAATGCGAATGATAGACGCACAGCCGGTTGTTGTTACTGGGACGATTGTAATGAAAATTGTGAAACAAGTTCGAATTTATTGGATCATTTGCAAACGAAGCATGTGAATCCACAAGCGGCACCATTTTCATGCCGTTGGGCCAATTGCAAAGTACATGGACGTGAATCGTGCTCTCGCAAATGGCTTGAACGGCACGTCTTATCACATGGTGGATCAAAACTGTTCAAGTGTATTTTTGAAAAATGTCGCATGCGTTTCGGTTCACAGGTATGTATCTAATATGTTTGAACGCTCATTTATTTATTTATTTATTTTTTTGCGCGATATTCAATGAAAACTTATGTACATTTGAAAATCTTATATTCGTAGCTTGCACTGCAAAAGCATGTAAATGGGCACATCAACAATAGTGAAAATAAAGATTCGATGGTACGTCGCTCGTCTGATCCACCCGTTCCAAAGAAATTACGGGTTAATGGAAAACGTTTGCGGTATAGACGACAACCGTTTTCAGGTGAGTTGTAGTTGTAGTCTTATTTCTAAAGAACGTCTTTTTTTTACATTTTTTGAAGTAAAATTTATCAATAGAAGAATATCGGTGAAGTAATCCATTAATTGCACTATGCGTTGTCCGAAATTCGATGACAAACAGTGTATAACATATGTATGAGCAATAAATTTTCAATTGATTTTAGCACGAATGTTTGACTATTTTGATAACGGAGTAATGGAAGAATTGCAACATCGTCTTTTGCATACAGTAACCATTACAAATGGCTTATCTGAAGCAATAACATTTAAGGGGCGATCGATTGGACGGCGAGTAACTGCAACTGGATCAGTTGAGCTGCTGATTAAATGGAGCCCCAACGATATGTAATTATTATAATACCCCAAAAACTTACCCTTAAAACTTTATACAGATGATTTAAATCTATAATTTGTACGTTTACAGCATTTCCGATGAATGGATGTCGGCCAATAAAACATCGTTCACAAAAACCGTTCAACTCACTGCCTTAACACAATCTGAGCGCATTTCTCTCATGGAGCATTTGAACTATCTGTACAAATTTCCAACAAATATATCTCCAACATCTTCATCAGACGAAATGAGCAGAAAATCGTGACCATCACTTTACTATACAGTGTAAAATGCTACAATAACAAAATAACCACATGTACCGATTAATGCACAAAAATTCTAAGCAAACGGAATAAAATAACACGTAAATAACTTATTTTCTTAAGTTGAGACGCGTGTTATCATAATTTTTATGTACGGCATTTATATGCATTGCGAGAATTAAGTCATTAAGATTTCAAAATTTATACAAATCTTATGTTTTCAGATCTCTTTGGATCGAAAATCCCCAATTATCTCATTGATTAAACGAAAATATGTATAGAATTTTGTAAATCATATTTTTTTACTGATTTCAAATCAATGCTTAGATCCAAGTGAATCTTAAAGCATAATTTTGAATTTGACTACCCGTAGCAGAATTATTAAAGGAAATTATATAAACAATTTTTGTATACGATCCGTTCTGCTGCCAAAATACTACGATATCGAAAAAAATTTGAACTTCATACAATGGATAAATGTGGTTAGCAGTTTGGTCTTAGATAAAAGTTGTTTCTTTTGGTACCTCTACTCATGTGTTCACATCATTTACAATGCTAATTAGCTGATATGAATCGTAGTAAATGTTAATCTTTTAAGGCCAATAGACTAAAGCATTTTGGTATTCGATCAGTGCATTTGACTGGAGAAATTGCCAAAACTTTTTGACCATATTTGGTTTCATGTAACCAAGGGTGTACAACTATGCTATTCACATGAATGGATGCTAATGATATGCACTCCTTCTTATTCGCTCGAGGTATTAAAATAATCATGATTTTGATGTCTGAGAATGTAAGCAAAGACTCATTGGAATGTCCAATGCAGTCAAATCTTTTACATTCATTCATTTATTCATCGACGTTTCCTAGTTTAATATCACAAAATAATTAGTAAAATTTAATTTTGGCATTTCAAGTCAGGCATGTTTTTAGGTAGGCCTTGGACAAAATTTATTCATTTTCTAAAGATCCTATTACATATATTCGATGTAAAGAGCCAAAAAAGGGCGTCATTTCCTTTTATAAATCCTTCCAGTCCTAGGAAAAAGTAATATTACTACCCATGCCTGTTTTAAATTAATTGGACTGAACAAGAAATAAGATCTTTAAAAAAACAAGTCGCTATCCATTTTTTTTAAATTTTAATCTCTAATTTCCAAAGAAGCGAATTGGTATCATCGTCTTCGAAGCTTGCATAAAATCAAGCAAATCCTTATGAATTTATAATCTAGTTAAAGTGTCTAAAAACTATTTGTTGTGATGCACAAAAAAAGAGCTCCGTTCGATTGAACTGGTCACTCGTTTATGCCAATATAGTCTGAAAAAAATATACAATTTCGCAAATAGAAACTAAGATTTCATTTTAGATTTAAAAAATAAAAATAAATAAATAAAATGCTGCCAGAATTAGGAATGAAATTGAAAAAATTGAATCGAAATGAAATCTATGAATAATTTGGACGCTCCATTTTCACGACCGAATAACATGAAGCCAGTGCTCGATCAATAGAAGTTTGCTCCAAATTAGTAGAATAGTATTTATCAAAACTGCCGTTGGTATATTGCTAGTTCATGAAATAATTCATTTTTTCTTATATTTAAAATGCATTTTGAACGTGCTTTTTGTATAAATGGCAAATTTAATTTGTGAATGATACACACAATTCACGCGTGTGTTCATATAGCATCGTTTGCATTTTTCATTTTATTGCGAGTGATATGCGTATCATACGGCGTAAATGTCGTTTGAAAAAAACTCACAAACATAATTATTATTAGATTTAGCGAACGATTTATTTCCTAATATTGATGTATTTTCGTCATAGAATAATATTTATACACAATTCAATGCAATAGCATTATTTTCGATGATTTCGACTCATTTACGCAACTCATATACGCAATCGAATTTCAAAATACATGAAATCTGGAACGTAACAAAATTTTATTTTTTTTATATGTATAATTCTTCATTTATTTAACTCCTTCTTTAGAGAATTTCAATACTAAAAAAATCAAATAATTAAATAAAAAATGAAGCTAATGTATTCTTATAACTTTAATGTGTGTAGTGCAAATATTTTGCTTCCCAGTTGTAGACTGTTTGAGAAATTTGATTGAGAACTGTCTGATTTTTGGTCTCTCAATGCTGATATAATTTCCAAATAAACATGTCTTCAGATGAAAAATTACGAAAAATCATGTTTAAGACAGACTTTTCATTAATTTTATTTTATTTTTAAAAAATAATTCCAATGTACAAAACAAAAAATTTAAATGTTTTGCGGGTTGTCAATTTTGGATTTCAAATCAAAATCAAAAATGAGGTCAATTGATTTGAGAAGCACAGTTCAAATCAAATATATATCATTTAATTTGATTTCACCTAATCATGTTTTTCAAATCAAATCAAGTGATTCTGTTGATTTGGATAAACTAAAATCAAATCATACGATGAACAATCCCAAAAAGTAAAATAAATTGATTTTCAAATCATGATTTTTAGAATGATTTGTTGAATTGTCAAATCTTTTGATCTCAAATCTGATAACCCTTTTGCCATTTAAACGAATCGAAAAAAAAAACATCATTTAAGTCACTCACTTACTCAAGTCATTCAGTCATGTATTCAAGAAGTAATTAAATTATGGGAATTGATTTTTGTTCTGGTACCGACACTATATAATCACCTCAAAAGAAAGGATTCTATATTGATTTTATATTTAAGCATTACATCCAAACGGAATGTAGTGTGGTGTATTAGTAAAACTTGTGTATATTGTGAAAACAACGTTAATTTACAACTGAACATAAGATTTTATAGGGATTATTGATTAAAAGAAATTTTTATTTGATAGATGTAGCACTGTATTTTGTGACGTTCGTGCTGAAATAAAAAAAAAACTAGTTTTTTTGGATTTTTCGCAAATAGTTGAAATCGAAATGAAACATTGTCACGTACATACTAAAAATCGAATAATAAAAACGTTAACTTTAATAAGTGGTAAACAATGAGTTTAATTTTTCCAAAGACAGTAGAAATCTAAACCCAAGTAATATCTTATTACATATGCGATTTTCATAATTGGAAAATATATCAAAATTTGGCCTATCCTTCTAATTTTGGAAAAATTTATTATTATTATTAGACCAAAAATTTAAGTCCGACAATATATTGAGCTGACTATTCATTTGAAATGAAACTAAATAGCATGCTATTTGGAATATTTCGATTGTCTGAAGTAACAAATTTTTGTTGTCACACAATCGAAATGTCCCAAATAGCGTGCTATTTCGTTTTATTTCAAATGAATAGTCAGCTCAATATATTGTCGGATTTAAAGTCACCCCAGAACATGTTTCCTATAAATATTTCCAATTTTTAGGTCATCACCCATAAAAGATATTAAAAATCTAATTTTACTGGATAGTTGGGGATTAAACTTTGAAGCATCCAAACAAGATCCGGAAAACTGGCTGTGCTTGAACCATTATAAGTAAATGGTCTGATTTATTTTCAACCAATAATTAAGCTTCCAAAATCCTTGTTGGTTCCTTTTTTCTCCACCAGTAGCGCCACAAGCAGAATGGAATAGTTTTAGATTGCCAAAATATGAACATCGTCTGTTATTTCTACAAATGATTACACTTGAAGAAAGGAGAAAAAAATTGCACAAATATCACTTGTATTAAAATTAATCAATAGTGATCTTACTTCTAAGTTCATTTCAAATTTTCTAGAATACAATAAATTACAACATTTCACACGAAATAATTCATTTTTTAAATTGCAATCAATTACATGTTATCAACTTTTAATGAATTCTATTGTAAACAATCTGATTAGTAATGAAAAATTAATTGAATTTGAAGTAAAAGTTAGTACAGTCAAACATAGAATTGAATTCTTTTTTAAGCAAAACAGAAACATGGCATGATCGAAATGAACAGTGTGCAGAACGTAGCCGTGCAGTGGAGGGCGCATAATGGAACTACGAGCCCATCACTTTTGGCAACACTGTTCGTAGTGTTTTGACATTTCATGAAATGTGACTTTAATGTTTGTTGATATGAACCGTGTTTGAGTTTTTGAAATTCTAATTTATGATTGTGAGTTTTTATATGTATTTTATTATTATGATAAAATAACAGTGAAAAAAATGTGTGAAAATATATATAAGTATTGAAAATTTCAAAAAAATTAGTTTACATTTCTTGAATTGAATTGGTAAAATTTCTTATTATTTACAAGGTGCGTTTTTCTTTAAGGAGTCAGTCAAAAATATATTTCTTTTTACTACATGTGTTTGTTATGAGTATCTCTGAGCGGTGCAATGTGAGTGTGTAAATGTGTTACGGCTGGAACAAAAATGTGCTAGCGGTGGCACAAGTGTATTTACTCGACCGTAATCGACAGAACGGATAACTAACTTTCAATAATTCTGAAGAAAACTCAATAATATTTTTTAAAAATATTGAACTTAATGACGCTCAATGAAGTAATAACAAACGTAACCGGGGTTGAAATATAGTTTCTTACTAAAGCCAATCTCTTCATTGCAAGGTGTTTGCATTTCGTTGTTTTCACCAACATAATCTTTCATTTCTTCGCTGATAAGTTTTAGCAAATTTTCAAGATGCATATTATGTGAAAACTTGTAAAATTTTTGGGACATGGCTTCAATATACCATGAGCCAGTTATAGCATCTCGATGTGATGAATAACCAGAAACCGTCGAATAACAGATTTTTATGTCTGAGTATGTTTGCAGTAGATCAACTATTGTATTTGCTTCGTTATGCTCTGCATCAGAGCTATCCAGTTGCATTGGTAATGTTGTTAGTGCACGATCTAGGTTTGGCCATCTGTTTAAGAAAAATGCGTTTAATAAATTAATATAAGAAATTAAGACAATAATATCACCGGCAACTAGGAAATATAAATATTTTTGGCTTTCCGAGTAGATGGGAACAGCTGGAATTACTGAAGTATGGTATGATGTCATTAACATATAACATATTACCGTCGCTGAATTCGATAATGTTATTTTCATTACGATCACCGTTGCCATGTGACGAAACACAAAAGACCAAACAGTCATATTTCTGCAAAGCTGGCCAGACTGATAACTTTTTCAACAGTTCCATGAAATGCTATGCAAAAAATAATATTATTTTACTTTTGCTTCAAAAACAAAATAAAATACATACGTACATCCTTTGATATATCCTCGTAATAAAAACATTCCAAGCCCATTTCCCGAAATAATATAATTAATTTGTCACGATCGGTCGTTCCAGCTTCTCGTTTCCTTCCTGGTTTCTGGAAATTGATGATGTTTACGAAAATGAAAACATCACGATGCTTAGATTTCATTGAATAAATTCCAATTGGACCATCGAAATTTCCATGATTTTTTTTTTATTTTTCGAATTGACCTGGGAATGGTGATTCTATTTCTTCTTGAAATGGAGTAATTTCCATTTTTGAAGATAAAAATTTATCGAATGTAAGATATAGATAGTAGTATATAGATTGATGAACTTATCTTGTAGTATATAGATTGATGAACTTATCTTAAATTTTGTTTGCTACTTAAAGCGTGTCTTTCGATTCTTTATTAACAAATTGCAAATAAACGTTCATTTGAAATGTTAGTTGTCAATCAGTGGGCGCTGGTGAAGCACTTTTTGTATGGAAATATTTGTTGAAAATTCAACAATACGCCACCTATTAAAGACAATAAAGATTTTCGTTACTACTGCTGTCTTGACACAACTCTAGCGAACTATATAGCTGTATTGCAAACGTATTAGTACTGACACCGATTCTGTGTATGCGTGTGTGTTGTAAATTTTGCACAAGCAGCTACGGTTGACGACTGAGTGCAGAATTTGCAATACAAACGGACACACTAAATCAGAGTCAGTGTGTTCTTTAGTAACAAAAATCTTTATGTATTTTAATAGATGTCGTATTCGTTGAATCTTCAACAAAAAATCTTCGATACCAGCGCCCACCGTTGTCAATCAACTTTATTAGACGTTTTATGTGTTATAGCTTTAGACGTTTTATTCATTTGACATTTTGTTGACAGCTTGTCAGTTCCCTGAACGTAGCAAAAGTCACAAATTCTCTTCCCAAATTCGTGTCATATTGTATGTTGTTTTTCAATAATTCGTAGGTAACTTTTGAAAAGATTTTTACAGTTTTTCTATTCAAATAAAAACATAATTTAGCATAATTTTGTAGCAATTGGTAAATGTGAACGAAACGTATGAAATATTGAGTGTGGACGATGCGCTGAAAGTCTAGAATGTGTATGCGAATGTATGCGTGTGCGAATTATGACGGCCATGCCATTTTGTTTGTGTATAGGAATTTACATTATTTGTGCAATCGAAACTCCGCAGCATTATTTCATTTTCATTTCGATAAAACCATTGATATTACAATAAAAATCTTATAGAGGAAACCGAGAGGTGATACGTAATTCAGTGATTGTGCTTCACAGCTTTGTCATACCTCAAATATAAACCGAGAAGTATCTCTGTACTATATATAGATAGTGATGACATAGTTAAAAACAACAACAATAGTTGATACAAATATTTAAAATTATTACGTCATTTTATGTTTTGATTTTGTTCATTTTGTTACAGAATAAATAATTTGAAGGAAGTAATAATCGATATTTGCAATTATTTCATTGGGTAGGAATGAAGCGCATGCTGGAAAACAACCAAAGCTCATCAACATCAACAACAGTTTCACCGGATAATACTACCAAGAAACAAAAAAAAACATCTCCACCAAATACACCAGCCATACCAAGTCAAATCTCAGCCAATGAAATAATGTATTATGAACAAGAAAGACTCAAAACATTTGAATGTAATTGGCCACATCAATCCATCGATCCACGTAAATTGGCCAAAATTGGATTATATTTTGTTGGGCGAGGCGATACAGTAACATGTCCTTTTTGCCACAATTTTTTGAGACATTTACGAAGTTTTGAACATGCATTTAATATACATAAGTTTTATCTGTGTCCATTGCTTTGTCGATTCAAAACACCAAACGTGCCCATTCAACCAGGTAAATATTCTCAATCTCATTCGATATAAAATTCATGTTATTGTGTTTTCCATTTCGCTTGCAGAATCTGATTTATATGATTTGTTACCACCACGAGCACCTGATCTTTTTTTAACTTCAAGTGGACGTGTAATTATTAGGCGTAAAGCAATCCGAGACTAGTTTGACCTCCTGAAAATCAACTACCGAAACCAAATTGCTACAACGTTTGCATTTTAGCTCATTTGCATTAATCGTTTTCAGATCGTCGTTCTCTAGTCGCTACGATTCGACCAGAAAATTATTGTTTAACATTTGTATATTTTAAGGCAAAAATACAATACAAAATCAATGTCATCTTTTTTTTTTTGTTCTCATAAAAACATTTGCATTTCAATAGAAGAAATCATTCACTCATAAACAGTAAGGGTAAACCAGTGCTTGTTTCTCGCACGCTCGTTCGTCATCGAACTCACTCAACTGAGCTGTGTATTGCCCATGTTCAAAGCGTGTGTGCGCGATTGAGAAAATGCATATTATGTGTGGTTTGGAAAGACTAAGACAATGCCGAATATGAAATACCAATGAATGTGTCAAAATTGTTGTTAAATGTGATATTACAACAAATGTTGGAATATTCGTAACATTGATTGTAATTTGGGAAAACGCAACGGCGGGTTGTCATATTTATGAAATCATTTTTATCTGTGTATAGCTTGAGTTAACGGTTTTACAAATTATTGAACCCATATAAAAATTTACGATATTTTTCATTCAAAATTTGGAGATACGAATAATTCCAATTCTAACAAGCATAGGTCCGAGTACATTTCATTTTTTTATTTTTTATTTTTTTTTTACATCATTTTAGCATGAATTTGGACTAGGATTCATCTAATAATTTTTTGATCGTTCTTTCTTCATTTGACTTATAGCTTAATCATGTGTGTGATTTCATTGCCCTGGAAACTGTAAAATTCTTTAAATTTTAATACCAACATACACGATTAATATATCGAAATCAGCAATTAATGTTGTAACTCATAAGTTGTAAGACACAGTATTGTAAAATTGAATTCATTCAACGACAACGACAACGACAATGACAACGACAACGATATTTTGACCTACACTCTGAATTACCAACAACATACCATCGTCTCAGTTTTGTGGAAATATGTTGAATTATTTCGCATTCAATACATGGAAATGCTGGTGCGCGTATACATACATACACATATATTGCTTTTCATATGCACACGCATAAAAGAGACAGTGCATATGTATAGCAGACAGTAGACTCGACACGCGTTAAGTTGCCACAATCGCACAAAGCAACATTTAAAGTGATTAACTGAACCGTATCAACATGCTACATGAGACAAACACAACACACATACCCATTCACTCATACACCGGTAAAATGAAATGAAATACGCAGACAAATGCTTAATCGACACATATACCAACGTATGTTTAAGGTCTATTGTACGTATATTGTTGAATATCTGATGGTTCACTCACTTATTTCAGGCCCCAGCCTCACATAAAACAAAATGGCTAATAGTAATCACATAAAAGAAAACACCGCTACTGCATAGTGTGAAAAAAATATAATTTTTCCGTAGATTTTTTATTTGTATATTGTAAATATTTATTTCAGTTTGTGTTATTATTTTGATTTGGCTTTTGTTCATCGTTATTTGAGTTTTAGCAACAAATAAAATGACTAATGGAGCATAGATGAGCAAATTTACAAAGGGTGAGAATGAAAATAAGAAATATATAAAAGTGATTTGATTTCGATATATACAATATATATATATATTTTCGTCGCTATTTTGTGTGTGCGTTCAGTTTTTTTTTTCACTTCATTCGCTTATACATATTTTTTTGTTCATCCAAAAATTTTGTCTCTGATTTGTGTAGGAGCTATAGACATTTTGTTTTAAGCACTTTGGAATTTGACTATTTTTGGAATATTGCCTTGTAATGAAGAAAAAATGGAACAAAGAAAAATATATGCAGTGTATGTTGGTTTTCTTGGTAATACCAACATTTTGATTTAGCGATTGCAAAAGTCGGTGATAGATTTGGATTTCAGTCATATTCACAGATGTGGTCTTTGGTCGAGTGTCCATTATCTCAGTGGTGATATTGTATTTCCCTGTTTGGTGTTTGTTTTTTTTTTCTACTTCTCCTTCTCAAAGATATACTTGATCATAGTTCAGAAACTGTGAATGACAAATGTCTCCACTTGTCATTTCTAACAAATAATCCGAAAAACTCTTCATATCGTACACAAATCAAAATTACCAAAGTGTTTTATAACCCAATGCATATACCTTTAGGTAAAACATACGATGTGTATAACAAAATAAAACGTTGCAAAAACACAAAAGAGAACTGTTGTTAATTGTCAGAAATACATGGCGTGAGTAAACTAAAGAAGAGAATTGTATATGAAACTTACAGTGAGCGCAACTGAATACACAATGTTCAGCCATAATAAAAAAATTAAATACAACATATAAAGATAATAACTGAGAGAGCAAAACGAAACAAGTAACCAAGTAAGCATATATTTATATTCTCGGGTAGTAAACGATTTGTAATTAGGAAGAGAGCTTTCATATAAATTTGTTTAAAACAAACACATTTATGGAAATCACCAATATATTTTACTCTTGACTAAAATCCAAACATGCTGTTTGAATAATATTGCAAACTCTATTGCATTTGTGCGTTCGATTGGAAAAGTAATAGAAAATAGAAAATATATATATAGATGTGTATATGTAGATATAGGTATAAATATATATATAAATTAAAAAAAAAAACAACAATAATAACAACTTCATCAGCCAAAGGAATAATTGCGGGTAAATGAGCAACTTTGGTAGAATAACTCACTCGGTTGCATGCGCTTCGTGCGTAAGCAATAAATAATAAAAAATATACACACAAAAAAATTTGCGGTAAATTTTAATGTAAATGCGGTTACTGAGTAGTGTGTGGTTAAATTTAAAGGCAATGCGGTTAAAATTTCGTCATTTGGATTCTTTAATATTAGAATTCACCGCAATTTACCGCATTCATACAAAAATGACCGCACACGCATAAGAGTAAAAGTCAAACATTCAATCCACCATATTCGAGTATGAATTGATTGTTATAAAACATTCTCGTTAAATACATGAAACTATTCTTTTTATAATACATATTATTTATTTATCTTTATTATTTGATGCAAATCTACGGCGGTGTTTTTTGGACGAAATACTACTCTGTTCGTCATTTTTTGTCTTTTTTCTTGAATTCAAATAATAAAGATAAATAAATAATATGTATACATGAATAGTTTCATGTATTTAACGAGAATGTTTTATAACAATCAATTCATACTCGAATATGGTGGATTGAATGTTTGACTTTTACTCTTATGCGTGTGCGGTCATTTTTGTATGAATGCGGTAAATTGCGGTGAATTCTAATATTAAAGAATCCAAATGACGAAATTTTAACCGCATTGCCTTTAAATTTAACCACACACTACTCAGTAACCGCTTTTACATTAAATTTTTCCGCAAATTTTTTTGTGTGTAGTGATTCGCTGTGAGTTTTATAACTATAGTGCGTACTTGACTCTATGTGCACAAACACAAACATACACAACGCATGATGAGGAGTGGATAAAAAAATTAAAAAGAAATACAAAACGTTATGTTTAATATATATATATATATATATATATATATATTCTTAGTTGAGTGCTGGCGATTAATTTGACTGCTGAATCAAGTGAACATTTCGAATTGTGTATTTTCAAAGCATCTTCGGTCTTTTCTAATGTCTTTCGCTTTCAAGGTTTTTGTATGGCGTTGAAGCAACCAATAAGAGTGCGTAATGTGTGATCATTGATTTGCGACGATGTGCGAATCAGCGAAAAACTTCACATCAAGAAAATCGCATCTCCGGCACGGGCCTTTCACTGATTCCAACAAATTTTCTTCTGATTTTTTTCTTGCTCGTCGTAAAAAATAATAATAATATAAGTATTATATGATTGCTATAGAATAAAAACAGCGTATGAAAAGGTTGCATTTCAAAGCGAAACACCGTCATACAAAATACAGCAAAAAATGTATGTAAAAACAACCTTTGAGAATTCATATATAGATATGGCCATCACAAAATGCAATTATATCAATTCCATCATGTTGTTAACATGACGCGTTACGCTTGTCTTGTTTCTGCTTAATGTGACCGATCGTCAATGTTATATCTCTAATACATACTATTATTGGAATAAAGAAAGAGACAAAGATGTAAGCAAAGGAATGACTCAACACCAAAAAATGAATTTGACTATTGTCAGTGAAAATAAATTGAGACGGCATTTGCTGTAAAATTTGAAATTGTTTTGAAAAACAATGAATTTGTATTGCGAATAAAAAACTGCCTTTTTTTTTGTCCTCCACATTTACAGCTATACACACAGAGATATATATAAATTGCAGAGCATATACTGAGCATAGATATATATCCGGGATATTTTGTGAGTATCCGATATTTATCGCAGCCAGACATTATAATGGAGTGAAAACAATAGAAGTGATTGTTATAGGTCTAAGTATAAAACCATTTACATTACTACAATCACGATAACAATAACATCTATTGTTTTTACTCTATTTCAAAGTCTGGCTCCAATGAATATCGGATACTGACAAAATATCCAGGATATATATCTATGCTTATTATATGCTCTGATAAATTGTGACAAAATATTATGTTCTAAACGCCATTTTGTATAAGTGATAACTTTTTCTTGAAAATAAAATATGTATCAATTGAATTGGCTTGCAAACAATATATTCCAAAGACCTCTTTTTTCCGTGTATACAAATAAATAACAAATATTGTTTATATATTTAATGGTAATTTGAGTGACAGCCAATTAATTACATATTTTATTTGCATGTGTGTTTTTAATCGAAAGGAAAATATTATGCTAAAAACCTGAATGATTGGAATATTCGAAGTTGATTACGAATTTTGCAGCGATCAAGTATTTGTCAGTCGCATTGTGTGTTTCATTTCTAATATATTTCATACGTTTTAAATGGAAGACCTTGTCTCTCTCTCTCTCTCTCACACACACACACGTAAAGTGTGTGTGTGTATATATATACGCGCACATACACGTATAGAGTCTCGAAAACGACGAAAGAAATAGATAAATGCAAAAAAAAAAAAACAAATACAAATACATAATCATATCCATTTTCATGTACTTTTCTTTACTCTTCTTTTATTCTACTTTTCTTTGTTGATACACTTTATAATAAATATTT